CTTGACAACTCGAACATAGAAAAGGGCCACTGAAAAGCGTTTTCGTTTTGGAGGTATAGAATTGAGGTATTTGGGTTTGAGTTTCGTTTTTGTTTTGGAGATCAAAAATGCACCCAAGCGGAGTAGAACATGTCATGTTTTTTTGTTGAAAATAAGGTGCTGCACATTTGATACACTTTGTGGAATCACAAAGCGAACAATTCGGAAATAAAGTCGTACATTTTTGACAGGAAAAATTTGAAATGTAAAATCCATTTTCACAAATAATTTGATTGAAAATTATCTTAGAGGAATTGGGGACAGTTTGACAGGTATTTTCTCTAAGATATTTGTTTTCTTCACACTCCAAGCACATTTTGTTTGATGAGATTTTACAAAACGAAATATTGAAAAGATGACAAAAATTCGAAGTGAAATTTTGTGCAAAATTAAGTGCACATTTCTTACACATATTTTTTTCTGAAAAATTACATTGAGGAAAAGCAATACAAGATCCTATGTTTTCTCGATATCCATCAACACATTTGATGCATCTCTTCATTGTTTTATTTATATAGTATCTTTCTTCTATATCACAATTTTCAGATTTACTTTCTACAATTTCATAAAAAGCATCTACGTTTTTATTGTACAAAATACATTTTCCAGTTCCATTTATATATCTTGTGGCACTACAGTTATCATTTTCAACGTTTTGTTCAATAATAGTTAAGTTCGTTCTGACATTTAATTCTGTTGGCAATTCTCTCATATTAACTAAAACTTCTTTATCACTTTCTATAGTTAATTGTTCTACACTTTTACTCATGATATCAAAGTAACTATTGTTCTTAGATTTCAGAACTAAATTCGCTTCATTCATTCCTTCTATAACTAGTTGCGGGTACAAACTATCATTATAAAAAAAATTTGCCATTCCTTTAGTTGTGAAATTAAGTTCTATTTCTCCCATAAGGTCTATTTCCTCAACACTTTTTGTACTCATCCAAAAGTTACAATTTGCACACAAAAACGAAACTTGTTGCACACTTTTTAAATTTAAATACCCTCCACTTTCTCTGATAATAACGTCCATTATAACATCTTCGTTTTGGAAATCGAATTGTTCATAAAAGAGTTTTTGTAGTTCCAAATAACATTTTTGAGATTTTTGTGTGCAGGGACACAGTTGGTCCAGAAAATTTTGTGGTTTGTAGTTTTTCCCCGTCATCCGACACCGGTACTTTTCGTCAAAATAATTTGTCAGCCCGTTGTTTGAACAAAACCGAAGAACAGTATCTCCCCTCACACCTCCCAACAGTCCGGTGTCCGTCTTTAGTTTTGCTCCGCACATTATCGTGTCTGTCATTAATTGAATTGAACTACAATCATTCGTTTTTGCAAGATCAAAACAGTCGTAATTACTTTTAGTCCAATTTCCCGATTGTTGAGGGGTTATATTAATACTTAAAACTGAATCAAATTTAAGGCTTCCAGATTCCGAAATGTCTATAGGAAATGCCTCTAACAAATCACCAGTAAATGACCGAGAAAAATATAACGTCCCTTCACTATAGATTTTCGCAGTCCCACTCATTTTAATATCAAAAAAGACAAGATAGCCTTTTACCGTCAAGGAACAATCATTCAATATCTTTAACGTGTAAAATAAACATTTTCCTGTACACGTCACCGCCACGTTTGACGAAATAGTCAACGAATTGTGTGATTGAATGCCTTCCATCGTTATGTTTACAGAAACGAAATAATCGCATGAGTTTTCAGTGGTCGTACACGTTCCTTCCGTTTCGGAATAAGTGCAGGAACAAGAGGACTTTAATGGAAAAGTACGAACAAAAAGAGGAAAGAAAGTGATAAGTAGTGCAAGTGCTCTTATCAATAGCATTTGCTTTATGGTTTTAAAATTCGTTTTGGTGAAAGTGGTGATGAACGGTTTTACTTTTCTGTTTTTTGTTTTGCAATTTTGTTTTATTTTTTCTTTGTTGAAAATCTTAGGTAAAAGTACTAAAACATGACAATTGTTTTAATAAAGATTCGATTTTGTTTTATGGGGTTTTAGTGTAAAATTTCTTTAATTTCTATGAATTGTAGTTGTTATAACAAACGATTCTAGCCAATAATATCTTTAAATTACGGGAATTTTTTTTTAATTTGATTTTAATAGAGTAGAAATATAAAAAAAAGCGAAAAAAAAAGAAAAGTCAGTTTTTTAATTCAACATTACCTCAACTGGTGTTTTTTGGCAATTTTTAATATATGAAACATAACATTTGTAACGTTTAATTACCAAAAAACTAAATCAAGTTTGTTTTATATTTCTATTTAATATAACTTATTATAATATAACTATAATTTATAAAATGTGTTATTTGATAATTAATGAATTAAAAAGTCCGACATAATTCGGGATTATTGAAATGAAGAATATTCTTTGATAAATTATCCAATCCCCTTTGGGGTTGATAAAATGTTTTCTAATTACACACACAAAAATTTACTATAAATATATTATAAATAATCATACTTATTATTATTTGTTATTAAAAGATTTTTTTTATAAAACAATGGTAAAAATTATATAATATAATAATTATGATAAAAATTTATTATAATATATTATAAATGAATAACTATAATTTATTATTATTTTATTTATAAATATATTAAAAAATTATAATATAAAAATAACTTGTCTCAATAAATTTCATCTTAATTAATAACATTTAAAAAAATAATAATAAAGTGTTATTTACTTGTTTAATTATATTGCAAATATTTTGAAGTCACTTTATGACAAAATTGTTTTTAACAATGTTGTCTTTTCATTATTTTTTAAATAACAATTGTTATAACTATAATAATTTATATATCTTAATTAATAAATGTTACTATTTAAATTTAATGTTATATTAACAAAAATTATTTTAAAAAAATAAAAGTTAATAGATTCATAAAAATAAAATTTGAATAATTTGAATAATTTAAATAATTAAAATATAATATTTATAATTATTACAAATACTATTGCTAAAATTATAAATAGAACAGAAGTCAATCAAAAATAAATTTAACATTGTATTTTAATAATTACTTTTGAAATGTTCTTGATTTATGAAAATGACTTCTAAAAAAACATATATAAAGTTCAATTACATCACTTATTTCATTCAAATGCTCTTCTTCGTTTTATTCATTACACTCTCTTTTGCTGAAGAGACACTCAAAACTTCTAAATGCCCATTAACTGGTGACCCACACGATGTTGAAATATTGAAAATATCAAGGAACACAAACACAGAAGATAATTCATTTGAATTCATTGTTGATATCCAGGTGAAAAACCCCCTTCATCAAGCATTCTTTGATTTCAGTGGTGATGTTTATGTTGACCAACAATACACTGGCAGAAGAGAATTGGAATCATTCCAACTCGAAGTTCGTATTGGACAGAAAGACCCAATTCCACCAGGAGCTTATCAATTTACTGTCAAATACGCAAAAGGAACAATTCCAGGTATTGGTGAAGTGATTTTCTACTATGACATTAGATACGGAACTGGCGAACAAAAGCATCATGTTTGTCAAATGACAGACAGACTTCGTTTTTAATTAAAAACAATGATCAAGAACACACTTTAAAAATAAGTGATTATAAAAAAAATGTTATCTACACTAAAAATAGATTATCAAATAAACTATATTAATATAATTTATAAAACTATTCACTTAAACTATACCAAATTCACAAAAATAATTCAATTTTCAATCATTTTGAGACTTAAACGTATTCTCAATTGAAAGATTCTTATCTCAAATGCCTATTTGCAACACCACTGAATGACCGTGAGGTCTTCAGAATATCCAAATTGTTTTGTACTTGATGTTAAACTTATTCAACTAATAATTCAAATGATTTTAAGTTCTTCAAATAAAAAATTCAATAACAAACTTTGTAACATGTTGACTTGTGCATTGCACACTTCCTGCCTCTCTGACACAAACTGTTTCGACGTACTCACTTTCATTTTCTGCACCAAATCGTCTCTCAAAATCCACTCGTCTCGATATGAATTAACAATAAACTCAAACAACTCCCATTGTCTGTGATACAGTTGTGAGACAGACGTGTCTGCTCCAACAGGTAGTTTTTCAAGTCGTTTAAATAGTGTTTGCAGTTGACTATCCATTTGGTTATACAACGACTCCAACCGGACAATATAACCCTCGAGGGTTTCAATGCTATTTTCCGTCGCGACAACGGAAGTGCTGTCGATGTATGTTTGAACAGACGCGTTGATTTTCGAACACAATGCAGCCCACGTCTGAATCAACTTTTCAAGGGCATCAACGGCTTTGTTAATCAATTCTTGCTGGTCGGTCACTCGACTCATTACTTAATTATTTATTTGTTTTTTATAAATTATAGTTTATAATAACATTATAGTTAAATTATTGTATTTTAAGTTATTCATTATAATTATTAAAAAGCATTAATTCAATCAAAAATCATTCGTCGGAGTCTTGCTCGATTTTCACTCTCCCGTCGTCTTCACTGTCATCGTCCTTTTCAACGTGAGTCTCCTTCTTCTCTTCGTCTTTCTTCTTCTCCTGCATTTCCTTTTTATCTTCCTGAGTAACAGGCTTTTTCTCTGCCTTTTCCTTTTTGCTCTTCTTCTCTTTCTTCTCGCTCTTTCGTTCGGCCTCTAATTCCGTTTTAATCTCTTCGTCTTGTTCACTTTCTTGATTTTCTTCTTCAGATTCCTCTCCCAAATCTTCTTTCTTTCCGCCCTTCTCAATCTTGTTATGTTTTTTCTTTTCCTTTCGTTCCGCACTTGTCTCATCTTTAACCATTTTTGAGACGATGACTTTTTTACCATCGATTGTTGTTCCATTGAGTTCTAAGGCCTTGAGGACTGAAACCTTTGCTGCGAACTCGATAATAGCAAACCCGCGGCTTTTTTGTTTTTTTCCCTTCGTAGTTGGCAGAATGACTTGGATGACTTTCCCAGCTTTTCCAAAAATCTTAGCAAACGTCAACTCATCAGTGTGTGTATTAATCTTATTGACAAGAATACAATAATTCTCATTACTTACAAATTTCTTTTTCATCCCTTTCGTTTTGTTTCGGATAAACTTGATCTTCGAATCCGTCTGTGGCTTCTCAGTCGATTTGTTGACTTTGAGGTATTTCCCTTGGAAAAGTGATCCATCTAATTTCATCGCTCGTTCCACCGATGATGAGTTCTCAAACTCAACAAAGGCACTGTGAAACAATCTATCAGATACATGAAAATTGTGACGGGAAATCGGACCAAATGGGGTAAAAAGCCCTAAAAATTCGGGTTCGGTCATTTTTTTATTGAGATTGCCTACAAAGACGGAACGATCATTATCAAATTGCTTTTTGGATTTAGTCATTTGTGGGTTTTAAAGTTTTTCAATTTGTGTTTTTATACAGTTTGTATATAATTTAATTATAGTTAATTTTATTTTAGTTATATTACTTTTTTTTTTAAATTATATAAATTATTTTATTTATACATT